ATATTGCCTTATATGTATTAGCTCAGCACTAGCGCGACAAACAAGCTTCACTGAGGTCCTCCATCCACATGACAGAGAGGGGAACACAAAAATGACTCGGGCTGCAACTGAAAATATGGATGGAGGACCTCAGTTTAGCTTGTTTGTCGCGCTAGTGCTGAGCTAATACATATAAGGCAATATAGTGTCGGCGCTAGCAGCTAACAGGCTAAGCTTTCTGCATTTAAATGAGCCAATCATCAGATATTGTCCAAGATTAGCCTTCAGGGTGGATATAGCTCGCTCACACCGAGGACCTATCCACGTCATTATTTACCCAGAATGCTTTGTGTGTAAATAAAATGGCTTCGTCTGTGTTAAAATACATATTTAAAAATTTACAAAGCTAAACAGCCTACAGTATTTTTACAGTCTTTATTTTACAGTTAAAATATATGTTTATGAAATAAAGTATTTTACAGCTAATCGGGGATCCCTTTAACCTCTGAGCCTAGAGCGTGATGCATTTCGTACGAAATGGAAAAACCTAATCACCCCCCCTCACCCCGGCTCATTCTTCCTGTTCATCTTTAATGGGAAACTTGAGACAGTACTGAGTAGAGAGCTTAGTCTGTCACATCACATGACATGCTGCAACTAATGCAGCCAACAAATGCGCATATCAGGGATCCCAGTTCGGTGCACGATCCCTCCACAGAAACAGGTGGCGGCTGCTGTAAGGCCAGATGTCCCCGGTGCGGCCGCAGTAAAACGGGCTCTGTCGCAATACAGCGGTGAACAATGCGTGACGGAGACCGAAGGTGGTCTGGTTCAACTTCCAAACTCCAGGCAGGCCAACAATGGGGTGAATTCTGGACGGAGAGGTGTGTGGACACATGCTCCCTCTCCTTGCTTCGATACAAGGCTGTGGATGCTTTTCAAAACTGAGGAAGTTATCTTAAACATGCCCCTAAGCTGCCGTCCCCCCAACAAATAACGCTTCATATCCATTGGTTCCTTTGTTCCGACATCTCGGCTTGTTAATGCCATGCTTTAAAACCCACTATGAGCATTTGCTCGACGCTGTATAAATAGATGCTGAGCATTACTGGTGTGACAGAAGTAAGGCTTGTGGACGAAAGCCAAATTCTGCTGAAAGCTCTGAAAGCTGTCACCAGATGGCACGAGATCAAACCCTAACAAAGTCCTGCTGTTACGGACCACTTTTGTCTCGTGTACGTTGCCAGCCCGAGCCGTTTGTTTTGACATGTTGTTACTTAGTTTTCACAGATCTGGTGAGCGGATCTGTCCACAAAAATCAGACGCAGAGCTCACGAGTGTGAGGAATTAACAGCGCAAAGGGTAGTAAAGAGCAAACCTTTTGTTGCACATTGATGAAACTATTTGATCAGAATGAATCGCCGGTTCTTCATGTACCATTCATGCTGGGATCCAAATACAAAACATCACAGGTGGTAATCTGACCCAAAATATCACCTTGTGTCTGCAAGCACGGTAAAGGAAACCAACCATGTTATATATTTAACTGTGGAGGATGTTATGTCTGGACTTTAAACAGATTAACAGCAGAGATCTTGGTGAAACTTAACAAACGTTTCAGCTCAGCTTTTTGTTGCTGCAAACATGATTGTAATTCATGTTATAGATTGAAGCAGATCAAAAKGACTCCCACTGGCCTGACATGAAAAGGAAAAAAAATCATTCAACAACCACTCGTGTCTGTTTGTAAAGACAAGTGGGACATATTTTCAGTCTTCTTTGGTGCACAGGTGTGAAACAGTTCTCTGCCCTGGAACTAATGCAGAATATGAACTCCAATCTCACTCATAAATAAAGTGTTTTAAAAAGGTTCGATGTTTTCTGTTTGGCTTTCAGCACATTTCTT